TATTTCTCAGGCTGGTCTCGAACTCCTGGCTCCCGCCTCATCCTCCTGAGTAGCTGTGACTACAGGCACATGCCCCTGTGGCCAGCCTCCAATATAGTTTCTGATCTCTCTTTAACACAGACATATTTTTTTTCTCATTCATACAGATGACATCAGGCAAAATTAGTAATCAGTCAGGATTCATTTTAGGACTCAGAAACACTTAAGCTATTTTAAGCAAGAAAGGGATTTAGCACAGGAAATTAGGTGCTTACAGACTCTTTGGAAGGGTTAGGAGAAGAGGCTGTCAGCTGGACCTATGCAGACAACTCCTAGAACATTGCAGAACTGGCCTACCAGCATTAGGACGTTGAAGCTATTGACTTCAAGAACACCCTGTTGTGTCTGCAGCCTAGAGATTAGGCAGGCACTTGGCCATGAAACATTCCGGTCCACATCCACAAAGCTAGTGATTGGACACTGACATCGTGTTGTGAACAAATCCCACTTCTCCACAGCCATGCTTCCCAGGAACAGCAGCGAGAAGATGGTAGTCATCTCACCTCTGTCTTTCAAACCTTGTGCATCTAATTGGCAGAACTTAATTTACATTCAGAACTCTAGTGGTAAGGGAGTCTGGGAAATGTAGTTTCTAGCTTTCTGACCTCTGTAGTACTGGGCATACTAGAAGGATTTCGGGATGGATGCTGATTGCTAGTCTGCAATAACTGCTGCACCATTTACTCTTCAGGAAGACTTCTAGATGAGACAGTGAGCATTTGAATGATTGAACTATACTTTTTGCATACCTAAAGATTGCTCACTTAAATTTTCCTAAGTGTTTCCTTTGTGCAGACTGCCAGTTGCATTATGAAATTTGTGCACAAATGAATATTAGCCCCCTGTAGGATAGAAGTACTATAATTAAGCAAGAACAGGTTTTTTTATAGCACCACCAGCATCTGAGTGGAGATTGGAGGCATCACGCGGCTGGCTAAGAAAGGAATGGAACAGCCAGTGGTGGGCAGTTCCTCTTTTGGTCTTGCCAAAACTTCAGAAATAAATCTTTGTTTTCTTAGTTTTTTAGTAAAGCGTGATCAGTCTCTATATTTATTTCAGAAAGTCCAATTCAGTTTTTTTTTGTAGATCTGAATTTATTCAGATTACTGAGGTTGGTTTTTTTCTTTTCATTTTATTTCAACTATCTGTTGGTTGCAAAGTGTTTGGCATGCAAGTATAGTGGTAACTAGGCGGAGAGAATCTCTGCCCTTGTGGATCTTGCAATCTAGCAGGATGACAGACAAGTAATTGAGTGATTATGACCTTGATGAATGTTGCAAAATGGAAATTGCCACATAAGTTTTTTTTTTTTTTT